GACAGAGGACCTCCGGCGCGGGGAGGGACGCTCGATGTCTTTCTCAGATTAGCCTTCCCTGCGCAGGAAGCTCGCTCAGAATTCTGGCGCAACTTGCCCTCTTGCTGCAGAAGACACTCGATGTTATTAGCTTCTTGCTAAGGCGGCCCTTGAGGCCTTAGGGATGGGGACGTGACAATAACTGATATTTAATAAGCCAATGGCTAAGGGGTTGGTTTGTGGCCTTAGTGTTTTAATCATTTGAACCAGAAGAGCAGAACAAACTTATGGTTCAAGGCTTTCTTCCCTATACCCCGGGCTTTTTCCAGGACCTTTCAGTTTACCTGGCTGGAGGAGGGTCCTGAACCTTCAGGGTGACGCAAACCCCGCGCCTGCGCTCGCGCGCGCGCGTGCGTACACACACACACACACACACACACACACACACACACACACACACACACACACACACACGCATTTGAACGCTCAGCAATCCTTTTCCAAGGCTGTTCCCTCTTTCCGGGGAAATAAAGCCTAGATTAGAACCTTCTGCCGGCTTCCTCACTTGGCCGTCTGGTCTGCATTAGTGTTTTTATAAGGGACTCAAACAAATCGAATACAAGGTCACCAAATAATTAACAGTTGTGAATTCCCTCCGTCCCCATTAAAATACTTCCCTGCTTATATTTCATTTTCCGTTTGCCAACGACAACAGGGTCCAGGCAAAAGCACTGCTGCGTTGATTACACCACTCTGCGGCCCAGGTCCACCCAGAAACTCGCTGTTTTGCATAAACATGCTGTACCATGGACACTTCAATCGTGAGGGAACCATGCGGCTCTTAGAATGTGCTCCTTGCAGACCGGCTACCCCACAGTTGTCCTGCCCTGCCCCTGATAATCACGATCCAGAAGGTAAACCAAGAAGTCAACAAACAACCGCAAACTCTCCTGAGAGTCATTTCTAGGGTGTCAATTTCCTCAAGGATGTTCAGATCTCGTTTTGGTTTTTATCTTTCTCTGCTGCCTCCTTTCTGAGAATGCTATTGTGACAACCAAAAATTATTTTTAAAGAGTATTCTTATTTCAAATCATCTGAAAACATAACTCACAGCAATATTCTTAGACTCATTTGGGTTTCCTCCTCCTTGGGAGGATTTTTGTCCACCTTGTTGGAATTTTGTGACACTTCTCACTACATAAACTGAAAGTCCGAGTTTTGTTTCTCTCTCCCTCCCCCTCTATCTCTCAGCCATGTTGAATTCATAGAAGTTCTAATTGTCTGCCTTTTCCAGGCCCCAGGGTACTGAGTCCAGTCTTTTAATGAGTTATATCTTGTGCTAACTGTTATTTTCCTATATCCAACCTGGTCCATTCTGGTCCTATAATTGTACCAACACACACATGCACACACTGTCTCATCTTTATGGATCCAAAATCATTTTAAAGCACAATACAGAGGCATTTTAAAAGATCAGGAATAACATGATTTGTGCCTTTACAAATAGTATAAAGAAGAAACAAGGCACTGAACAGAGTCAGACCCTTAAATCCAAAGTTCCACTCAACCGACTAACTGGGTCTTAAGAGGCTACAGAGGAACATTAGCCGGGGTAGGAAATCTCCATTGTTTTACTTCTGCTTCTTGCTCCTTTCCTTTAGAAACTTCCACACCCCTTACCCTATTCATATAGTGCCGTAGGCACTAGAACCAGAGGTGAGCTTCACCTCTTATTATCTGTGTGACCTTGAGCAACTTGCTTAACCTCTCTCTCTTCCTAAATTCGCCCGTAAAACAGTGATTTTTAGGACTTTCCTGGAAGTTGTTATAATTAAGTGAAATAACTCATGTAACAGATTTTAGCACAGTACTTGGTACACAGTAAATGCTCAGTGTATCTTGTTTATTATTATTACCCCTAGGTGTTTGGAATTTGGAGAGCAAACTGAAAGGAGGAACATCCTTTTTTTTAAAAAAACTGCAATAAGGTCTCCTCATGGTGGTGGTGGTGGTGGTGGGGAGGGTTGCAAGGGGGAACATAGGACAGAACGTGCTGTCTTAAAGCACTCTTGATTCACTTTGGACAGTTTATCCCTGCTCTCCCTCTCTTAATCACACACTTCACATGTAACTTTTGGGGTTCCAGTTTCCCAGGTGAGGAAAGCTTTTTACAAATACTGTACATGAATAAGTAGTTCTTGCCTCTTCAGGATTCCTGCCATTTTCTTTGCTCATCCCCCGGAGGGACGCCAGCTCCCCGAAGCTGACCAAGCCTGCCACGTTCGATGGCGATTTAAACATCACCGAGGCAAGGCGCCAAGTTAGCGCGGCTGGCCCAGCTCTAGGCTGGTGGTTGCTCTTTCCTCCTTGCTCCGCCATCCACGGGTTGGGGGAGGGGATGTTGAAGGGTTTGGCGCGGTTCAGAGTCCCCACGTGAGAGGGGCGGAAGTCCTCAGGAGACGGGGATGCGCGGCTGGCGGGTCCCTTCCATCACGGGAGACTAGACACCGTTTGATGTGTTATGACATGAACCCTCAATTAGATCGCTGAGTTGAAACACTCCAATCAGGGGCCCGATGCTAAGCAAGCCCCGGAAGGTCCAGCCCGAGGTCACCGCTGGTGACACATCAAATCAAAATCAGTGAGAGGGAAAGTGAGGCTTTCCCTTTATCAAGCTGGGGCTGTAGCCTGCACGGTACCCCCTCCTCTGCACGCCCCCTCCAGCCCGCGGCTCCGCACTCCTTCGCCCCCGCGCGGCCTGCGACGAGTCGCGCAGCCTTCCCAGTTAACTAACTGCAGTTCTTGTTTGCTGGGAAACTGAGGGCGTGGGAGAGACCGCGCCTTTGAAGCTGCGGTCCAGGTGGTCAGGTCTTCTACTGCTGCGGACCGCGCACAGCTCCAGCTCTCGACGGCGTTCCGGAGTTGAAGCCGTACGTCTGGATCTCGGTCCGGCTAGCCTGGAGACCTTGCCTCGGAAACAGGGCCCACCCCACCTCCAACCTGGGCGCACAGCCAGGTCCTTCCCTACCTCCGGCGCCCAGGGGCGCTCAGCGCGGTGCCTGGGGGAGAGGCTGCATTGCAAGCTAGGTTGAAGCCAGCCACTGTCTGCCCCAGACCTGAAGCCCCCCAAGACTCCCCCACAATCGCCTGAATGCCTCAGGCGTCGGTAGAAACCTCGGAACCGCCTGCAGGGTCCCTTGGTCCTGTGCCAAACTCACAGGGCGCAGCGAACGAGCTAGGGGTGTCTGCTTGGGGGAGGAGCAGAAATTCTTGAAACTTCCCTTCGGAGGAAAAGAAAATGCTTGCCCAACCGCCCGCCAGCCTGGGCCTCCCGGATTTCTTCCCTTGGGGAAAGGCCTCTTGAGCAATCTCTCTGAGTTTTCTTAGTCTCTCCTTCGACTAAGGTGGAGGAAAAGGAAGATGGTAAACAGAAGATTAGGAGGGAGAGAGACAGAGGCAGAGCTGGGGATGGAGAGGGGAAGTTGGCGAGCTGCGCTGGCAGCACCGAGGCCTGGGACCCAGTTTTTTATTTGCAAGGGTGACTTTAGTAGTCCTAAAATCACCATAAAATATCCGGCGTTAATTTGCGGCCTGGACCTTTCAGCAGCTCATGAACCTCGCTGACCTCCGGCTGCAGCCGCGAACCTAGCGAGGGCAAGACCCTTCCCGCAAGGAAGGCGACTACAAGTGAGGCGGCTGGGAGCTGGAGCCCGGCAAGCTCCGAGCCTTCAGCCTGTTCTGAGAAGCTTCGAGGACGTGCGGGGACCCAAGGCAGCCAGGGCGGTGCAGCCCTCTCAGCCCGAACCCGGCGCTTGCAGGTTCCTGGGCGACCCCACTTTCACTGACCGTAGTGGGAGGTGGGGAACGGTTCAATGCGAGGAGCTAAATCTGGACAGCATGATGGAGCAGATAATTCCCTAAATCTCTTTTATCTGCTCCTTCCTCTCTTCTCGTCCTTCCTTTCTTTTTTCTCCCTCTTTTCCTGTCTCCCTCTACGTTATTGTCTCTCCGCTGCAGGAGCTGAGTTCCAGCCTGTGGATCCCTCCCCAATTTCTGGAACCAGGGGGAGCGCGAGGCTCTCTCGAAGGCACTCGCCATGCTCCTGACCAACAGCCGCAGCAAGGAGCCCGCGCAGGAGTTCCGCAGACACCCGCGCCCGCGGAGGAGGCCAGTGACGGGGGCTCTGGTAGGAGCGCAGAGAGAAGAGCGTTGGCTAGCTGAGAAAGGTGGGTGAACACACCCATGTGGATTAAGTACTGTAACAACAAACCCCCAAACTTAGCTGCCCTGCCCCTGCCTCCGGCCCGCCCTGCCAATTGCTGCTTCTGCCTTTGCAGAAACCACTCGGTTGTGGCCTCGGAGCTGCCAAGAGAGTGCTTCAGGAGCAAAGAAGCCCGAGGGCGCGGGCTCCCGCCCGACTGACGATATTCACACCCAGCACAGGGACAAACCGAGAAGCCTGGCAGTCGCGGGGCCAGGGCACTGCCACACGCGGCTCGCAGACTCGCTTCTGCCGGCTTTTCCAGAGCCGACGGGAACACCGGGCTCTCCCACGCTCACGTATGCTGCAGGGCCCGCCCGGCCCCCACCGCAGCTCAGGCCTTGGACCGCGCACCCCATACAACCCGGGACCCCGTGGCACGGATTCCGTTAGTCCCCGCAGCGACCCCTCTACAGCCCAAGTCATTTGCCTGCCTCCTCCCGTCCTCCACACTTCCTCCACCAGCCACCAGAGGAGCGGCCACCACGCTGCTTTCTGCAAAAGATGAGAAAGAAGGAAGACGGGAGAGAGAAAGGAAGGAAGAGGAAGAAGGAAGCGAGGGAGGATTGCAAACTGTAATTAAATCTGCAGCCGCATCCAGAAACTTACTCGGGCTTGAGAAAAAACACTTTAAGAAAAGAAAGGGGGAGGTGTCCAGAGCGGGAAGGGAGTTCACAAATGCAGCCTCCTGCCAGAGCCGGAGCAGCGCCCAGGCTGCGGAGCTCCAGGGTGAAAGGCGACGGGCGTCTTTGCCACTTACCTAGTCCCCTGTCTACAAAGCTAGTGATCGTATTAGCCGACTTGGAAGATTGGAAGAAACTGGCATTGATGCCCAGCTTCTCGGCGATGGAGTAAGTCCTGTAGATGGACAGCATGTACTCGTGGGGCACCACGCGCGGGCCCCTGCCTGGCAGCTCCTGCGCCTGGGGCTGCTGCGGTGGCCGCCGCAGGAGCTCATCCTGCGACCGCGGCTGTGGCTCCTCGGGCACCGGGGGCGCCCTGGACGAAGCACTCTCTGGCGGCGCTCGCGGCATCTTCCGCTCTTTGCGGCTTCTCATTCCCTTGGCTGAGCCCAGCTCGGCGGAGGACGAGGAGGATGAGATGGAAGCCTGCTGGAAACCGGGCAAATCCCACAGGAAACTGATGAGGAAGACCGCTAAGAGCAGGACCCTGGGAGTATCCATGGCGAGCGAGTGGCAGCGTCTCCCCAAGAGGCGGCTGTGCTGGGCGCGAGGGGCGCAGAGCGGCTGGACAGCGGCGGGGGCCCGGCTCCTCCTGCGGACTCGGAGTGCGAGGAGCCGGGTCCCAGCCACACAAACCCCGGCCCTGCCACGCCCCCTCCCGCCCCTAGCCGGGAGGGGAGGGGAGAGGAACGGAGGGTGGGAGGAGAGGCCGGGGAGTGCGGCCCGGAGGTGTGGGGGAGAGGGGCCGCGGTGTGCTGGTGTGGCAGTGAGAAGCAGCGCCCCCGCGGGACGCGCGCGGGGTTGCGGGGCGGTGCGCTCAGCGTGGGCTGGGTGCTCTGAGTTGGAGAAGGCGGGAGCGGCAGCCCGGCAGCGAGCAAACCAGGGGTTTCCTCAGAGTCAGGGTCTCCCTAGCACTGTTCGAAGGTCGGTCCCTGCGCAGCGCCTGGGTCCTCGAAAGTCGCCTCCACTTTGCTGAGAGCGTGCTGCCCGGGAGAAGGGAAGCGGTGGTGGCGTTCCCCAGAGACAGCTCCGAGCTGGCACCCTTGCAGCCGGCTGCGCGCTAACTCCCGGCCGTGGTACCTTCCTTCCTCGGTCCCAACTTCCAGGCAGGCGGTTCGCTCCCTTCAGGGCCCAGCCCAGGGCCGGAGAAGCCTTGACGCGCGCCAGGCGCAGGGCCCAGCCCTGAACAGTCCCATACTCTCGTTGGGGTACCGACCTCCACAAAGGCAGGGCATCTGTTCCTGACCCTCAAGGTCAGGCAAAGGCCACGAGATTTTAGAGTCTGGATGGATTCTAAAAGCGGCCGCGCTTTCCTCCAGGCCCCAACGTCTCGAAGTCCCCTACCTCTTCTGACTCTGGGTTTAGCCGCTTCTTTTCTCCTTCGTCTGTTCCTCAGGTCCTCTTCCCTCTGGAGGCCTGGCCCCCGCCTCCACGGCATCCCCATTTTTCCTCTTTTTTTCCTCCCGCCTTCAATACTTTCTCCTTCCCCAAGTGCCTCCTGCATTCCAATCCCCTTCTCCCCAGCCGGCTTCCCATCTCAGTCTGCCCTCCCATCGCTCTCTGCCTTCCCACCCTCTCCCGCCCTGGCCTCCACCTCCCCGTCCACGGACCCTCCCTTTGCAGCTCTTCCCCAATCTGTTTCTCTTCAGCCCAGCCTCGCCCCATCACGAGTTTCCTTTATCTATCCCCAGATTCTCCAGGCCTGCCTTCCCGCCCACTGCCCCGCTTTCTCCCCAGCCGGACGCTGCCAGTCCAGGCGGCGGGCTGCGTCTCTCCCGCATCGCTTGGTGCCCTGGAACGCTAACAAGCTTCCCTGTGCATCTACTAGATGCTCAGCCCCTAGCCATAACACGCTCTCCTTTCATCGTCCCAACAGCTCTGTGAGGGTGGCCTTCCTGTTTTCACGTGCACAGATTTAAAAACTGAGACTGAGAGAATCATTTTTAAAATGACTTTTCCAAGGACACTTAACCAAGAAGACATGCCGTTAGGGACAGAACCCAGGGCTCAGACCCCAAACCCAGTGCTCTTCCCATTTCAGCATAGAAAACTCATTCACTGGCCCAATATCTCCATTTCATTCTTGCTTTTTTCTTTTCTTTATGGTTTTATTTGATCTGCCATGGTTTCCTCCCCCTGCTGCTGACATGTGTGTTCTCTCTCTAACCTCTCTGTTCCCCTCCTGCTCCCTTCTCCCCCTTCTCCCTTTTGCTGTTTCATTCTTTTTCCTGTCCCTGCTGGACCCACTCACCTGACTGTTGGGGGAGAGAGTTTTGTGTCCTTGCTCCCTTCCCTCCTTAACTTCCTTCAGGTCTGGGCTGTGCCCCCCACCCTAGGCACTGGCCTTGACCTGGTAATGGCAAAAAAGAGAACTTGTGCATTGGGCACGGTTGTAAGCCCAGTATGTATATTATTTCATTTAACCCTCAAAATGATTTTATGAAATAAGTCCACATTGTCCCTATTTTACAGATAGAGAAACTGAGGCCCAAGGTCACACTAATCCAGAGCCTGGGCCCCTAATCACTGGGCTATGGAGCTACTGCTCTCCTCTTGATCTCCTTCGTGGATTCCCCTTTTTGGTCTGATCCCAGTTTTGGTTTCATGATTGTCCAGTTCTGAGACTTTGGACTCCAAGGTGCTTGACCATACTTCCTCTCTCTGCTTTAAAGTAATTGATTATTTACTAAATTGACAGCATAAAAAAAATGAAACGAAATGAAAACAATTGCTTCTCAGATTTTTGCTACTACAACAAATCAAAATGTTTTTGCTTTTATGGGTTCCCTTCCAGTCCTTCTTTATTTTTTTGTGCCACACCGTTTTCATATTATTGTAACCCAAGAATAGATGCTATGTTGTATCCTTCCTTTGTTACTTAACATTATACCCAAAACACGTCTGCTGGTGCTTCTTTTCATTTTCTTGGTTTGCTGTACTACTGCCAAGCCCATTTCCTTCAAAATCTCTCCCCTGTGTCCATCTGCCCCTCTGCAGGTCTTCACCATCCCACGATGGCCTGCTTATGCCACCTCTGAAAAACCACAGACTCAACACCCCTCATTTGTCACTTGCAGGAGCAGCATTTCCCATTCTGCCTACCTGTCAAGTAGGCGTGCACATGTCTTGTCTGGCCTGCTCTGTGCCTTGCTCTGCCCATCTGCCTGAGTGTCATCTGAAGAGGCCTTCCCCTTGTGGTGTCTCTCCACCCCTTCCCTGAGGGCAATGAAAAATTGTGGTTTGTGTTATCAGTATTTTAATTTCTATCAGTATGGTGTCTGGTTAATTATGATTCATGGTTTCAGACCCTCCATCCAATAAAGTGCTTCCTGCCTGTGACTGTAGCCCTGTGTTCTCTCTTTATCTTGCCCACAGCAACTATTATCTGATATAAGTTATAGGTAAACAGGAAACAAAGTGATGAGCTTATTTGCTCCAGCTTAGGATCTCTCAGCACAATAGATGGAGTCATGTGTAAGAGTAAATGGCACTGGGACAGTGACCACAAAGGATGTGGTCTGTCTTCCCGGCTTCAGGATTCCCCTGGAGCAGATATTACTCTGCTTCATTGCTACCAGTCTCTGGTCTATGCAAGGAGAATGCTGTGCTTTGCCAGAAAGGATTGCAGTGCTCATTTCACAGGTGAGCAAACAAAGGGACACACAAACTCAGAGGAGGGTCCTTAGGTCATAAACGGTCAGAAATCTAGCCAGGATTAGGAGGCAAGTCTTTCTGACTCTTAATCCAACCCTTTCCATATATTAAAATAACATTTTCATTTTTCAAATATAGTGAAAATGGTCCACATAAATGTATAAAGAAAGCCTTTTCTCCTCCTCTCTTTCAAATAAGAATTCACCCCAAAGTTAACAAGGCTATGCCAAGGCCTTTGCTCGCTCGCTCTCGCGCGCGCTCTCTCTCTCTCTCTCTCTCTCTCTCTCTCTCTCTCTCTCTCTCTCTGTGTGTGTGTGTGTGTGTGTGTGAAAAATAAAGATACAAAGAGCACAGTGCAAGTCAAAACTGCTTTTAGATCTCACATTTTAACAATTTAAAATAATGTTATAGAATTAAGCTTTCAGTCCAGTCCTAGATTCTCTCGTAATTTCTTCAGCAATTTTATCTATGAAGAACATAAAAATAGGTGAGAGGTTCTTAAGCTGAAGTGAGAACGGCCTGTGTAGGCACCTTTAGCAGCTCAGCCAGGGCATTCTTTTCGTAGTTAGATTTTTTTTCTCCCCAAATAGAGGGAAATACAGACAACTGTGCGGTATGGTATGTCCTGCCCCCCTGTGGACGCCGATGGAATTACCTACGGAGAATCAAAAGCACGATATATGGGAATGTTCACAGGCACTTACAAGATGAGCAAGAAATAGTGACATCTATTAACATGATTTTAAGAAATCAGAAAGTCATATGTAAGGTGTGTGTAGCATTTGGCAACAAAACATCCATAAATGAAAGATCTGCCTGCCCAGAGATACAGAACCAAAGCAAATAGAATTTTCCTGTTGCTATCCAAAATCTTTAAATTATTATTTCATATTAATCCAAGGAAAGAAGATTCTCTAAAACAAATAAAGGAGTTTATCTGCTTTATTAGGTCATTTTCACTGAAGTGTCACTTGAAAGGCAACTTGTATAAAAATGACTATGGACATTTGACTTTTTGTACAGGCTCTACCCACAGGTGAAGTGGGCAGAGCAGTACCCATTATTTAAAGGCTCTGGAAATATATCTTAGGAGGACATTATAGTTTGAGGTACTGTCTTCATAAGATCCCAGTTAAAATACAAATGTTGTTGAGTATTTTTGTATTTTACTGTCACTATTATGCTATTCTGAATAAATTGATAAACCGATAACCTGATAGGATTAGCTAGCTGTCACCTATGTTGTCCAACATAAATGAGACTTCAGACAGGTAGATTTTGATTAAAAGAAGGATAATGACCTGGACCAAGGCAGTGGGTTTAAAATTCTGCTCCTTTGAGCTTCTAGAGCTTCTGGCAAGAGTAATGGGGACACTAACCAGGAAGGGCTCACGTTGCCCATAGTTGCTCTAACCTGAGCAGGTCTGCTCTTTAGTTTTTTCACATTTCCATAAAATTTCATCTGCAGAAAAGTTCCCTCAACAAAGAAAAAAAATAATAAGAAAGCCATTGTCTTAGAGTCCTGAGCAATGTTCCTCATAGAGGGTCAAGGGGGAAAAACGTAGGGAGTCCTGAGGATCAGGGTAAAGGTGAGGACTCTGGAAAGGTGGAAGGTGAGTTAAAAAAAAAAAAGAAGCCTTTTAGGGAAGGGTACACAAGATAAAACTCCTTCACAACGTAGACCAGGAGATGCCAGCTCAGTAATTCTTCCTGCTTCCCCCAATTTATATAGAGACTAATCTTTCCATTTCCTTTGTTTGTTTGTTTGGGCATTCCCATTTTTTCACGGGATGATTTACAGACAAGTTAGATGAAATGGAATCAAGAGTTGTACTCAATGATATAAT